TAATAATGTTTGGGAACTGAGGATGTCCAGCAAGGAGTGTAGGTAAAGGGAAGACTGCTGGAAACCTTCATCATCAAACCAGCCAGCACGGCCTTGGGAAGGACTGTGGCTGCCTGGGAAATCGGAGGGGAATTTTCCTGAAGGGGCTCGTTCCTTGGTCCTTCTGCATAGTGATTTAATTGATTGCTTAATTCCTGTCTATTTTTTTTGTATTTAATAAACATATTTAGATCTATTCTGTGTGGGGCTAAAACCTAAATCTGAAAGATACCAATATCAGGGTCCTTCCCTTGAAGAGCTCCCTAATACGGAACAAAGACAGGAAGAGTGAAGATTATTATACAGTGCACCCAATAATTTGACAGAGATATATACGATGGGGAAAGGAGACACTGAGTTATTCCATGAAACTCATGAATGAATCTCTGAATGAAAGACTTAATATTTTACCCAGAAGGGGTGTTTGATGTCAGGCACTGTGTGTGGTACTAGAACAGGGCCCATTAACATCTTCGTCAAAGGATGTATCTACCCATAGCTACTTTTTTTTTAAAACATGCTTACTAAGCTATAATTGATATATAATAAAATGCACACTTTTATTATTACAGCCACCAATCTGCTTCCTGTTATCATAGATGAGTCTACATTTTCTGCAAGTGGAATTATACAGCAAATACTCTTATTGTCTGGCTTCTTTCACTAAACACAATTATGCTGAGGTTCATCCATGTTGTGTGTATAGCAAGAGTTTTCTTTTTGTTGATGAATAGTATTCCACTGTGTAAATATACCAGCGTTTGTTTATTTCCATTCACATGTTGATAGACATTTGGGCTGTTTCCTGTTTTGGGCTAATTCAAATCAAGCTGCTGCGAGCATTTGTGTACAGATAATTGTATGGACATATGTTTTCATTTCTCTAGAGTAAACACCTAGAAGTGGAATGGTTGGATCATATGGCAGGTGATGTTTAACTTTTTAAGAAACTGTCAAATGGTTTTCCAGTGGCCATATCATTTTCTATTCCTGCCCACAGTATATGAGAGCTCAGTTCTTCCACATCTTCACCAAGTAAATTAAAAAATTTTTAACCATTCTAAGAGGTATGTAATGGTGTTTAATTGTGGTTTAATTTGCATTTCCCTACAGACTAATGATGCTGAGCATCTTTTCATATTTGCATATTTGCCATTCCTATACCTCCTTTGATGAAGCATCTGCTCAAATCTTCTGTCCATGTTTTACTGGGTTGTTCTCTTATTATTGAGTTTTAAGAGTATCTCATATATTCTAGGTACAAATCAAATATATACCTTGCATATATTGTTCTCCCATTCTGTAACTTGTCTTCATTTTTTCAGAAGACAAGGCAGAATTTTTAAATTTTAATGTAGTCTAATTTGTCAAAATTATACTTTTGTGGATCACACTTTTGATGTCATATCTAAGAAATATTTGCTTAGCCAAATGTCCCCAAAATGTTCTCTTATAAAAGTTATGGTTTTAGGTTTTACACTTATATCTGTGAGCCATTTCGAGTTAATTTTTTTATGTGGTACAAGATATGGATTGAAGTTCTTTTTTTTTGCATATGGATATCCAATTGTCACAGCACTATTTGTCGAGATTAATTTCTCTACTTTCCTGCATCTGTGTTAAATATCAATTGTCTCTATATATACTGGTCTATTTTGGACTCTACATTCTTCCATACTAGTCTATTTGTCTAACTTTATGCTAGTATTGTACTGTCTTGATTTTCATAGTTTAATAATAAGTCTTGAAATCAGATAGTGTTAGTCCTTCCACTTTGTTCTTTTTAAAGCTGTTTTGGGTATTCTAGATCCTTTGTATTTCCCTAAGAAGTTTAGAATCAGCAAAATCCTGCTGGGATGTTAATTGTGATGGCATTTAATCTATAGACCAATTTGGGGAGAATTGACATGTTAAAAAATATTGAGTCTTCCAATTCATGAACACGGTCTATCTCTTCATTTATGCAGGTCTTTAAATTTTCTCAGTAGTGTTTTGCAGGCCTTATATGTCTTTTGCCATGTTTATCCCTGTGTGTTTCATAGCTTCTGATGCTATTATAAATATTTTTACAATTTTTTTTTATTTCTGATCGCTCATTGCTAATAATGTAGAAATACAATTGATTTTGGCACATTGACTTGAGCAACCTTGCTATTATGGGCTGAATTGTGTATGCTCAAAATGTGTATGTTGAAATCCTAATTCCCAGTGGCTCAGAAGATGACTGCATTTGGAGATAGGGTCTTTCAAGAGGTAATTAAGTTAAAATTAGGACCCTACCCCCAAATGACTGATGTCCTTACAAGAGGAGATTAGGACACGGATACACACATAGAGAAGACCACATGAAGACACAGGGAGAAGACGGCCACCTATGAACTAAGGAGAGAGGCCTCAGGAGAAACCAAACCTGCAACACCTTGATCTCAGACTTCTTGACTCCAGAGATGTGAGAAAATAAATTTCTGTTGTTTAGGCCACTCAGTCTGTAGGACTTTGTTACTGTAACCCTAGCAAACTAATAAATAGTTAAACTCATTTATTTGTTCTAGTAGCTGTTTGGTAGATGCCAAAGGGTTTCCTAACATATTATCTGTATATCTTCCCTTCTAATATGGATACCTTTTATTTATTTTTCTCATCTAATTGTTCTGAGTAGGATTTCCAGTACAATATTGAATAGAAGTGGCAAGAACAGACAGACTTGCCTTTTTCCTGATCTTAGGGAGCCAGTGTTCGGTCCTTCACCATAAAGTATGATGTTAGGTGTATGTTTTTGTGAATGCCCTTTATTAAGCTGAGGAGATTCCCTTTCTATTCTTAGTTTCATAGCTATGATTTTTAAAATTCCATTTCAAAGGTGGGTAAATAGGAATCCTGAAAAGCTAGACAAAATTTCCCTATAGTTGTAGATAACTAGTATAGAATATGGAAAAACAGTGATAAGCACGGATTCTGGATCCAGGCAGTTTCAAATTCTAGTCTTGTCACTTACTGGTTGTGGGATTTGGAAGCGAATTACTCACAGACCTGTGCTTTAATTTCTACATCTGTAAAATGGGGATAAAAAAAGTATCTACATCATAAGATTTTTATGAGGACTAAAATGTGTAAATATTTATAATGTGCTCAGAACAATGCTGGGCTAATAATAAGTGCTATGTGAATTTTTTTCCCTTATGTTAATTTAAAATCATGGAAGGCAAGTAGATTCCACTTCAGGATGCAAACCAACTATGCTGGCTTCCAGATGTGGGTTTTGCTCCATCTTTTCCCTAATCCCTGCTGCTCTTGGTGGCACAATTAGAGGTTTAGACTGGTAGAATTACCATCTAGCTCTACCTCTAGCCCAAGGCAAGAATCCTTTCTGCATGCCACAACTGACCAGCTACTAGCTGCCTTCTGAGCAAGAATTCCTCAGGATGATTTTTTAATCAGGAAGCCTGAATTTCTCAGTTCTGGAAAGGCTGATTGTGTCTGGCTGTGAGGTGACAGTGCCATATCCCAGGGCCTTGGAAGCTCAGTTTCTGTATTCACTCTATGCATGGCTGTGTCCTCCAGTTGCTGCCACCATGATGCATGCTGTGTTTGTGTCTCCTAGAGTACTCAGAAATAAACTCCATGGAATGGGTGTCCTGGGAATGGGCAGCTCCTCCTCCTTGCCACTAGGCAACAGAATTAGGGGCAAAGATAGGGCTAGCTTCTCTGCCTAACAACTGCCCAAATCCTGAGTCAACACCCAGATAATCTCTGGGCTCTTTTTATTTGGACCCATTGAGGGTGGGGGGAGTAACTAGGGATAGTCCTTTCATGGAATGTTTTTAAAAATTTAGAAAGCACTCAACAGTGTCTGAATCCCAGGAATTCTTAGCTAAAAGACCTCGTGGTTTCAGATTTAACATGAGTCTTTACTAGATTGAGCAGCAGGTTGCTTTGCTCACTTAGTATTGTTACCTAAACAAGCAAAAGATGTGTTTGCTACAAAGCAAAAATTTCCACCTCATCTTTAGCCAACAGGAATACAAGGACTGATTCAGGCTTTATATTTTTAAATCTGAGCTTGGCAGCTGTTGTTTTCCCTTTTTCCACCAAATGCTATAGTTTAGGATATAGGGAATTATGCAAAACACACTTGCAGCACCAAAGCAGAAACGGGATAGGACCCACCTGCATGCCCAGTAGTATTGGCTGATGTTCTTCCCCCTTTTTTGATGGGGGTGGGGGTGGGGGTAGGGGTGGGAGTGAAAGGTTCTTAAAAATGATCCAGCTATGGGAGACTGAGCCAGCGGGGGTCTCAGATTTTCTTAGTGGCAGGACTATCTTTCTTCTAAAAATAACTTTGAGAATTAAGTGCAAAAATATGCCAATGTCACATTTGCAGTGTGCATTTAGTAATAAGATAAACGTGCAACGTAAAGGTGTGTTTATATAACTAACAATTGCTCTGCAAAACCATCAACAGCTCACAGCCCAACCAGTCTTCCAAAATACCACTATGATGCACTGAAAATCTGCAACTTTGCAAGGAGGTGCCCACAAAGTACCTTCTTTGAATTTACATATTTGTGTACAAGAACATAAACCGTTTATAGCTTAGTCGGTTTTAAGTGCTAACAAGGTCTCCATTATTTGCTTTGCTTAAAATGCGCACTCAAAACTTTATTAAAAACATTTTTCATAAATAAGCTAGACATCAGCAAAGCTTGATGGAGGGGTGGAAAATGGATGGTATATCTTTAACCAGCAGAAGTTAAAAGACTTTTTTTTTTGTTGTTAGCTAACAATGGAAACTTTTTTTTTAAAAGTGTTTCCCTCCCTCGGTCTTGCCAAGCAATAGAAAAAAAAGAAGAAAAGAAAAACTTGTTCCGCTGAGTTCAACCCCAGACAGGCTCACAACTTCCTTCCTGCTTTCCTCCCCCGGGCCCCCGCCTTTCTCCCTCCGCCCTCCCCACCCCCCAACTTTTTTTTAAATCGCGCGTTGAACAAACACTGAGGGAGCGCGGAGCAGTGTCAGGGTAGGATCTCCACCGCCGGGAAGGCGCGCAGGGCGGCGTCGCCTCCGCGGGTCGCCCGGCCGCTGCCCAGAGTTCGCCTCCTCTTCCGCACTCTCCTTTTCTGTCTTCCCAGCTGGGTGAGGAAATCATTTCTGCTCTTTGACTTTTAAAGCTCTCTTGTTCCTACGCCGTCTGCGTCCCGGGGCCATGTAGTCTGCACAGGACCGGGGATCGGAGACACTGCAGGTAAGTTTGGCGTTTTTCTTGCTCTTGCCCCGGCGCCCCCTTTTACCCCGCTCTGCGTTCTGTAGCCGGTCTGGGCAGCCCGCGTCCTGAAAAGGAGCAGAGGTGGGCTGGCGAGACTGACAGGGGCTTTGATCTGGGGATGGGGGGGGGGGGGGGGGGGGGGGGGCGGAGGGGGGGTTTGGTGGGGGGGGGGGGGGGGGGGGTGCGGGTGGAGGTGCGGGGGTGCGGGAAGAGGAGCGAGAATCGAGTTCTCCGGCTGCTCCGCGCCTTCCGGGCAGCCTCCCGGAGCTCCAGGCTGCCGTGCTCGGGCCGCGGGCGGCTTCGTGGGCGCCGGGCAAGGCTGCCCAGGATGCCGAGAAGTCCTGCCCTCGGCCGCGCCGCCTAGGGCTCTGGGACGCGGCCGCCGGGAGCTGCGCTGGGCCTGGGCTCCAGCCCGCCTGCAGCCACGCGCGCTTGGGGTTCCTCCGAGTGGGCGCGGGTGCCGGAGCGCTCAGGGGCTGCCGCATCCCCTGGCACTGGGCGTGCGGAGGGCCGACCACTGAACGCGCGCGCACACGCACCACACACACCCACAAGCGCGTGCGCGCGCGCACACACACCGTGTGCACACGCACCCCTCCCTCCCACACACACACACACACACGCCCCTGCGGGGGACGACTGCAGGCCGGCCAGTATTGGTTCCGGAACAGGGGACGTGCGGCGTTTCGGTCCCGGGCGCGCGCAGGCGCGTCCTCACTCACAAAACACACTTGTTTGGGGACAGCCGACAAGGCCAGTGTTGGAAAATGCTTAGCTGCGGCCCCGCAGCGCCCAGGCCTTCGTAGGCGGAGGGACACAGTCCCAAGGCCAATCCAGGAGGGCACATGGCGGGAACACCGGTCCTCCAGACCCGGCTCAGGCAGCGGATGTGGCGGGCAGGTCCCGCTCAGGGCTTCTCCGAGTCGGTCCCTGATGGCCAGGAGGGTGGAGCGGGGAAAGCGTGATGCCCAGGGGCGGAGGCTGCCCTGGTGGCCGGTATAACCAATGTTTGCTTTGGTCGCGGGGACCCCGAGTTGCTGGATGGGGCTCCGCACTCTGAAAGATCCGAGTCAGCCGCGCCCTGCACACAGCACACTTAGGAACCGAGCAGTTGTATATCGTCCCTCGTCCGGCCGCCTGACTCTCAAGACGAGTCTCAGACTTTGGAACTTTAAGCGCCCTCAAAGCGCATCCCAACCTGGGGAGAGGGGTGGGGAGCGCCCTCGGGAAACGCACATGTACAACGCAACGCGCTGACGACGGAGGCCCCCGGGCTGTGTCCTCGCCGAGGACCCGACCACGCACGGATGGGTGTTCCTCGGGCTGGGAGCTCTCGTCCCCTCTGGGGTCCTGACTTATCTCCTTGTGTCTCCACAGTGGCGCTGTCGTTTATGGAGCTTTGGGCGGGGGCCGAGCCCGCGGTCCTGCCCCGCGCTCCCCGCCAGGGCCATGCCCGCCCGTCTGCGTGCCGAGCCGCGGCCGCCGGGCCTCCGGGGCTGAGCCAGGAACCGCGCGGGGCGGAGCGGACGGCAGCGGCGGGACGCGAGCAGAGGCGGCGGGCGGCTGCTGACCCAGTACTATGGCCGTGTCCTGCTACGCGCTCAACAGCCTGGCGATCATGAGTAGCGCCAACCAGGCGAAGAGCGGCGGCTCCCGGCCCAGCAGCAGCGAGACGCCTGCGCCGCCGGGCAGGGCCAGCCTGAGCCCCGGCAGCGTTTTCAGCCCCGTGAGAGGCTCCTCCTTCCTCTTCCCCGCCACCGAGTCGCTGTCGCCCGAGGAGCCCGGGAGCCCCGGGGACTGGCGGAGTGGCCGGCGCAGGCTGAACAGCGGTGGCAGCGGCAGCGTGGGAAGCCCGAGATGGGCGGGTCGCCCGAGAGGGGACGGGCAGCAGGTGGTGACCGGCGCTTCCCTCTCCCCTCCAGGGCCGGAGGAGGCCAAGAGGAAGCTGCGAATCCTGCAGCGCGAGTTGCAGAACGTGCAGGTGAATCAGAAAGTGGGCATGTTCGAGGCGCACATCCAGGCGCAGAGCTCCGCCACGCCAGCGCCTCGCAGCCCGCGTTTGGGCAGGACTCGTTCGCCCTCCCCGTGCCCCTCCCGCAGCAGCAGTCAGCCCCCGGAAAGGGTCCTGGCCCAGAGCGAGGAGCGGAGGACAAAGTCCTGGGGGGAGCAATATCGAGGACCTTCAGAGGCCGACCCTGGGAGGCGAGAAAGGGCGCCCAGCCCACGCCCCTCGAAGGACAAGGCGGGAGCGGCACCTTGCCCCGGCCTGGCTGCTCCGTCAGGATCAGGGGCTCAGAGTCCAGCCGCTCCGGCGAGAACGGAAACGGGGGTCCCTGCCAGATTCCACTGTGGCTCGCCCACGGCTGTGGAAACTGACGCGAGGGCCTCTCCTCTGGGAGCACTGAGCAGCCGGACTCCATCGTTGGGGTTGCTCGGAGTGAACTTGGTGCCGGCCACAGAGGAGACAGCGAGAGCCGCATGCACTGTACTGCATCATCCACACGACCCTGCCCTGTCCAAGCTGTCTGAGAGGACCCGCGAGCTTGGTGGTGCGCACCCTCTGGAGGCCCTGGTGGACAGTCCCCCGCAGTCTCTGGGCCGTGAGACAAGCCCAGCCCCAGACAAGGGCGGGTCTGGCGGTGGAGAGCCCCTGGGGAAGAGCAATTGGCAGTGTGGCCTGCAGGGCTCCAGGGCGCCCGAAGAGGGTGAAAGGGCACAGGAGAGGACAGTGAATGCAAAAGGCCCGGAGTCCTCTGCGGCCCTGAACTGGTGCAGGCCCTGTGAAGACTTGAGCTCGGTGGTCCTTGAGGTGACCCAGAGTGTGGCCCTGGTGGTCGCGGAGTCTGGGCAGTGCTCCAGCAGAGCGGAGGAAGGGGCTCTGACCCTGGGCCTGCTTGGGGGCAGCCACTCAGCACAGCCAGGCACCCGGGAAGTAGAGGTGAGAATTTCATCTGGCAGATTGCTGAAGTCTTTGCCTTGTTGGGAAGCCTCAAAAGATCAGAAAGACCATCAGTGCTGTCTGGGGGACAGGGTGGGTGTGCTGCCTGGGAGCTCCAGGGCTTGGCCTGGCCCCATGGAGGAAGCCGGTCAGGCCTGGACGTGTGGCGTAGGGGTGCAATCAGAGGGGACCTGGGGAAGCCAGCCACAGGACAGAGACTCTCAGCCCAGCCCAGAGCTGCACTCCCCAGATGGGAAGGACAAGCCTCCCCTGAGAGAGGCCTGCAGCCCCAGCAGTATACCTGCAGTCATCATCACAGACATGGGGACCCAGGAGGACGCAGCCTTGGAGGAGGTGCAGGGAAGCCCTCGGGGCAGCCTGCCATTGAGGAAGCTGTCCTCTTCCTCTGCCTCCTCCACTGGCTTCTCCTCCTCCTATGAGGACTCAGAGGAGGACATCTCCAGTGACCCTGAGCGCTGCCTGGACCCTAACTCTGCCTTCCTGCATACCCTAGACCAGCAGAAGCCCAGAGTGGTAAGTCTAGCTCTGAGATTTTTCTAGAACTTGTGCTGCATTTGTGCTCCATGTGTACCCTGTTTTTCTTATTTTCTGTGAAGTCGTGAAGAGTCTGACCCGGGCCCTGGAGCAGTCACAACTTAAAGTTCTCTCTGGGTGTTTGCTGGAGAGGTGCCTAGGCACTGACCATGCACTTTGCAGCTTGGACAGTGAATCCAAGTCACTTCTTTTGCTATATCCATGTACATCTTAAAATAATGTAAGGTACCCCTGATAGGTCAGCACTCACTACTTGGGAAGGTAATATTCATGAATTACCAAAAACTTACCAATTAATCCCCAAAGGCAGTAAACAGAACTGCTGAGTGTGTTTTTTGTCTGATCAGGTGAGACACTTAATTCTGTGGTTCATTTTGGTGGAGGACAACAGACAAGGTCATCAGTTTAACTCAGCCTCTACTGATAGTCCAGGAAAATGAATGATGGGATTTTCTGGCAGGGCCCTAAAACCTGTGGATGTGGTTTGGAGGGTTTGTTGGGTGAAGAACCCCTCTAGCCTCAGTAAGTTAAGGTCAGAACATAGCAGTATTCACGGGACTAGTGTAACTAAGGTACAGTTTGATGTATGAATTAAAATGAAAACCATGCTTTGAGCTAAGCAGACAATTTCTTTAAAAACTTAAGAATATTGTATTAGATTGAATTACCTGAGATAGGCACCGGGTCACACCTCCTAATGGGTACATCTGTTGGCTGATACTGGTACATTTCAGGACGTAACCAAGTGCATATGTTTTGATTCACCATGCTGACGTCTTGTTCTGGCTATGGCTGTGAGCAGGAGTTTATTACATGGTTAATCTCAGTCCAAGGCTGTTTTCACTCATGGGAGGATCAGAGTATTTTATGGAAGGCGTAAGAGTTGAAGCTAGTACTTCTGAAAAGGTCTGTAGTTTCTCTTAGCTTTTCCAGGGTATGGGGAATTTCCTCCGCAGGCACAGTGTTCTTGGGCTCTCTTGGGGGAAAGTCTGCATTGTGCTGTCATAGGTAGTCTTCTCATTTCATCTTGAATATCAAATACCATTCACTGAACTTCAATAACTTAAACCGCAGCAACTGAGAACTTTGTTTCTACCTTCTCTGAGGTAGTTAAGATCTAAAAGTATGTTTCTCTCTGACTCCCACTTCAGAACTCAGTCTGAATTTTTGAAGACCAGGCATTTCTTTTTTGAAACACTACCTTCTGCTGATGGTCTGGAGGCAAAGGTGTATGCAAAAGCTGGTCCCAGTCAGCCTGGTACTTTGTGACCAGGTCAGGGCCTCAGGCATAGGCACTCCACATAATTTAGAGGTAGTCTACCAGGAGGGGATGCTGGTAAAGGGCAGGTGGTAAAAGAAAAGGCTTTTCATTGCAGGTGTAGACTGGATTTCTCTGCCTTCTTGCCCATAGTGAGAGACTTAGTAGGTGGGGTGGGAGGGGTCCCCTGTTCCACTTCTCCCATTTGCTTTTTAAATCCTGAGGCATAGCTGGTACAGCCAAAATTGCCTTAACTTACTCTCCAACTTTCCATTCGCCCTTTTTAGTGGTGGGTTAGCAGCTCCTATTGGCTGGTCCTCAAAATAGTTTGTGTGTCCCCACATTTGAAAAGGGCTTTTGTCTGGAAGTAAGTTTAAAGGGGAGGTAAATACAGACCGGTGATAATTTTTTACATTTGCCAGAGGGATACTAACTGAGAAACCAGAGGGTTGAGTGGTATTCTCAAGTCAGACAGTCCCAGAGGTGGACACAAGGCCTGCCTGTTGTCCAGCCTACTGCTCACCTTCAGGCCGGTTTTCAGACACCCACAGAGGAGAGCCAGGGAGAAATCCCCTGCCAGCTTGGCTCTCTGAATCATGTGAGGCTGGTGGGGAGTGTGTGTGGGGGAAGGGTGGGTAATCAACTGGAAATTATGGGATCCCAGGGACTTTTGAGCTTTGGGTTGACTGCTTGCATGATATGCTATTTTCTTTCTCTTGTACAGATTGTTATGGTGCGGCCTGTCTGTGACACAGAAATATCTGCTCAGTGGCTCACAAATAACTTGATTACCTGATATTGATATTTTGTCTACAGGACGCCAGATATCTTGATTGACTGAGCATTTTGGCTGGGCTCTTCAGTGCTCTAAAGATAAACCCTGAGCCAGCACTGCCTCAGCTCTGCAATATCAACACCCTGTTCTCTTCTCTTAACCTGGCTGCCTTTGTTCCTGTTGCAGGGCTGCTCTACAGGCACATGCACACCCACGCTTGCTCACACAGGAAGGTCTGAGATTCCATGTTCAGCCTTCTAGTCACACAGCCAGCCCCTGGCCCTCAGACCCACTCTGGGAATTTTTTTATGCTATGCTTCTCTGCCTTTCTTGGGGTGGCACATGCTTTACTTCTGCAGGGGAGTTACTGTGTGTGGTGCCGTGTGTAGGCAGAGCAGGTGGACATGACAGCCCAGAGAAGCCTGAACTGGTTGCCTTTTAGTCCTCCTGCCATCTGGTCTCCCTACTGGGTGTCTCAGCTGGAAGTCCCAGAGCAAGTGTGCAGGGAATTGAGAAGGCCCCCCTAGAGTTGAAAACAAAGTGAAAAGTAGATTGTTTAGAAATGCACTCTGGAAACGACTTGACCATTTAGAGAATGCAAATTAGCAGTGGCCTTTTTACTGGAAGGGATGTTGTGAGAGGCCTGCTCACCTCATTTGCTTCCATGAGTAGGAGCTGTAGAGACATCCTCCGAAGCATGCAAAATGCTTCAGGTCTTTCCTATGGCTGCCATTGGCCTGTACCTGAAATAAAATGTTCCAGGTTGTTGCACCTGCATGTCTTCTGTCTATAAAGGATCAGACGCTTGAAATTTGCTCAAAAGTAATTATATTACATGCATTGTGTTCAGTGGCTTAAATTTAGGCACATTCAGGCTTACTATTCTCTGATGTGGGCAGAGGTGAACTGCACTGAGCAAGGCTGGTGTTCTTGCTTTTGTTCTATAACTAGAAATTGGTCATCAATTCTTCACTTTCCTCTGTTATGCCATTTAAGGGTATCTAGTCTATTGAAATGTCAGGTTTAAAGAATTATATTAAAATATGTATGCATCTTATTTTAAAAGATTTTAATTTTTTTATTCCAAAATTGAACTGTCAGTTGTATGTGCAAAAAAACAAAGCAAAACAAAATACTGGCCTAGTTACCTGGGGGAAATATAAACAATATAATACAAAATCCTTGTCTTCTTGGTGCTTAGGACCATTGGAATTCTGTTTCCTTTGCTTCTTTTGTGTGTGTCGACTAGTTTTGTTGTCTTTTTTAGTGAAAAACAAACTCATACATGTGGTAAAGAATTCAAATAGTTTAAAATGCCTTTATGTGGTTTTGAAAAGTGTAATATTTTTATTTTGGGATAAACCAAATTAAAATTTAAAAGCTTTAGAGAGATACTTTAAAAAATGAAGCTACTGGTGCATACTTCTAAACAGAAAACTCTTTTCTGGGTGAGAATGTCGAAGGCCCGTATTTGTGGGTTAGGAGTTTAAGGTGCACATGCTGTTTCTCAAGATAGGGCACCCCTCTTCTGTCTCAGGGATGAGGAGAGGCTTTTTCCGGCAAGGCCCCACCACCTTTCAAAGCTGGGAGGACCCCAGGTCATGTATGTGGGGTTCCAGGTGATACTCTGACCTGTTTAGGAATGGGAAAACCAAGACTCAGAGGCAATAGGGACCCAAGGAGTGCCTCCCTGGCTCAGTTTCCTTCTTTTCAAATGAGTGTTGTCCATGAGGATGATCCCAGGGGTTTCTGTCTAGTTCTAAATCATTATGACTATATTAATTCTAGGCTTTCAGTGCTTTAAAGGTAAACCCTGAGCCAGCACCATCTCAGCTTTGCCAGACCAACACCCTGTTCTCTTTTCCCAACCTGGCCACTTCTGTCTCTGCTGAGTCAAGTTTTATTCAAAACCTGATGTCTGTGTCTGGAAGTGTGACAAGGTTTCTTTGGTACAGCCCTCTGACACCGAGGCTGAAATGGGACACATTTAAATGTGTGCCTTTACTCAAGACCCATTAATTGATCTGCCTCTTTTTCTTTACCAGAATAGTTTGGCTCTTTGTAATTTTGCATTGAAAAAGTATCATCAGAATTAACCATCAATACAATACCCAAGATTCTCATGAATAATTAGACTGATATTAGAGGCTGCACTGGTATAATGCCAGAACATGAACTTGAAAAGTAAAAGATGCATTGAATTCTGTTATCTGAGGGCTTTGGCCTCCTCAGAGAGTGACATTTGGAAACTGAGGCTTTATCTACAGAGAGTCAAAACATCACTTCAAAAGATTTTGTTTTACAGCAGTAGAATCACAGAACCCAAGAATGGACTAACAGTTACCAAAGGGGAAAGGGACTGGGGAGGATGAGTGGGAAGGGAGGGAGAACGGGCAGGGTGCGGGGGGGCGCGGAGAAGAAAGGGAGCCTTATGATTAGCATGTATAATGGGGGCGGGCACGGGGAGAGCTGTGCAACCCAGAGAAGACAAGTAGTGATTCTACAGCATCTTACTACGCTGATGGACAGTGACTGACTCTAATGGGGTTTGTGGGGGGGACTTGGTGAAGGGGGGAGTCTAGTAAACATAATGTTCCTCATGTAGTTGTAGATTAATGATACCAAAAAAAAAAAAGACTTTGTTTTAACAAACATAAAAATATCTCAGCCAGCTTAAAATCCTTTCAAAGGTGTGGTATACAGAAAAAGAGAGATTGATGTTTAGGCATAGCAGAATCACAGCTGGGTCTGCCTAGCCTTTAGATTTTGCAGGAAAAATGTGTTAAACCAGCCAATTGCTGCTTTTAGAGAAATGTATTTTAGGTGTTCCATAAATCATTTTCAGAACTTTTGTTTTTAAGTGCTGAGTTGCTACTGAGTCAGTTTTATGATTTTCTTGGCATGTACCTGTTCAATGTAGTTACAGATTAGATTAGTTTATTTATA